CTATACTGTACCAGAATATATGCTGTTCTCGGCTAACCTATTTGGATAGCAGTCATTTTTTTTTTCTCTTTGCCTGTGTTTATTTCTATTCCTTTTTCTTTCTCGGTCTTTTTGTCTATGTTTTGCTTCCTTCTCTCCCAATGTGTATTCGTCACTCAAGTGCAACGCTGTTGAAGCTATGCAGGAATTTCGGTCTTCAAAATTTTGTGGTTGTCATTTCGTGGTCGTAAAAGCTTCAATAAGCGGCAATAACAAAACAATACGGGATCTTGAACAGCATATTGATAGCTGTATTAGAGAATTCGTTTCCTCTTCACAAAACCTCTTCACGGATAACTCAGCCTCACACACACACAAAAAAAGAGGTAGTCGCATTATGGGTGGCAGAGCCTTGAACTATTTCTTGGTGCAAGCGCAATTAGTTCAAGAAGTCTCCCTGGCCTCCACGGTGTTGCGCCTGATGCACGTGCTGCCATGATGACATGTCTGAAGACAGCGAGTGGCCGACGGTGACCGTCGACGCATTTCACGGGCACCCCGCCTCCGCGTTAGCAACCGCCATCCTCGACGGCCTACTTTCTCGTCTGCACTTGCTTTCCTTGATGCGAGAGTGGCGCTACCGCGAGGCACAGGAAAAATCCGGCCGTGACTTCGCCAAGTGCTACTTCGGCGTCATGGACCTGGCCGCCCTTTCGGGCGAGCTCGTGCTGCAATAAGTGACCGCTGGTCCAGTGCAAAACCGAGCGGTGGTCGCCCACATTTCGTCACCGTTGCCCCGCACTGCTAATGCTCTGGCGAACATCAGTCGCTTTTTCGCTCACGCAGGAATAATGGCAGCGTGCGGCTGTTGTGTCCGCCTCTAACGCCGGATGCGCTGGGCTCGACTCCTAGTGCCGCGGGTCACCCACCCGTTGTTCTCTTGTGTGTATAGGAACAGATGTACCGAGGGAACACTCTCGAGAAGGTGGTTCCACTTCTTCCGGGCGATGCTGCGCCTTTTCTACTCACCGATACACAGAATGTCGTTTTATTTCAATGCTATAGCTTTGGAATTTCTCGAATGACGTCGTCGGGACAAGTATACGCGTCTAGGAAGCATTCGAGCGACGTTTATGTGACAAAAAGACAGAGGGCCACTTTTGCATTCACACAGTGGCGAAGCGCCAGTGGGTAGCAAATCGGGCCGTGCCCCCCCTTAATTTTTTTTTTTCGCCATGACATACAGTGCGTAAAATCACTATTTCAAGGGGGTGCCTCACCCCTTGAAGTCTATCTATCTATCTATCTATCTATCTATCTATCTATCTATCTATCTATCTATCTATCTATCTATCTATCTATCTATCTATCTATCTATCTATCTATCTATCTATCTATCTATCTATCTATCTATCTATCTATCTATCTATCTATCTATCTATCTATCTATCGGTCTGTCTGTCTGTCTGTCTGTCTGTCCGTCCGTCCTCGTGATCAGCCCCGTAGATTGGGGTAAACATAAATTAGTATGTGAGTAAGATGATTTGACGAATGTGACTCGCTGGTTATGAGATGAATAATGCGACAGTCCGGTCGCGTACGTCCTCAAACCCTTTCAGACACGTGGCGTACATACCCGCGGGCGGGTATATGCCGCGGGTATGTGGGTATGTGTCACAGGTGAGTAGTAGTTTGTCTTTTCTGGAACGGTGTCACGGTGAGAACAGACATTGGTGATATTAATGTGATAAAGGAGTGTCCAGGGCTGCCCTCCTCACTGGTGTTCATTACCGTTTCTGGTGTTGGTAATATCCATGTTGCTCTTGGCATCGTTATGACTATAAACAACTGGTTATGTAAAACGTATGCGACTTATCAACGCATGTCTGTGCATACATTTGTCTGTGTCTCTAGCGTCGTTTTCTTATGTTTCGCTCAATAAAAAAATTACAATAGTCGCCTTCCATCTGCATGCTTTGAATAACATCGATTCCCAAAGTACTTGGAATCTGCCGAATTTCCGGGCTTCACTTTGTTCATGCTAGTTTTTCGTTCACTGCCATGATTGCATGACGAACATAACGCATTTGTCTCAATAACTGAACACTGCTGCGATAAATGATGTGGTCTCGAAATTATCATTCAACTCGTCCACTGCACCACCTTTGCCGCACCTCTTGTGTTGGTCATGAGCCGCGCTAACATGGTGACCTCGATGTATACTACACGTACACATAAAGCCCATTTGGAGGACTAACAGCTCTGTCATTCAATTTTCATTTCTATAAGCGATCTTTAGACAACATATGCTGGTCATCTTTGAAGCGCGGAATACAGCGACAAAAAGGCAGAAAAGGCAGTACTGCGACAAAAAAGGTTAGCGCTCGTGTCCTCCTTGTCTCTTTGCCGTCGTTCTGTTCTCGCGCTCTAACTATCGCCGCGACGTATCTTGCAACGGGTCCACATCAGGACATTGTTTACAAGGAAGCGGAGAGTGGGTTTACCATAACTGCAGCTCCGTGGTACGAGGCTGTTTTTCGTCCTTGCTCATTCCCACGGCTGGGCGCGGTGCCTGGAGGAATGGTTGGCGTGGATAAACGATAATTGGGATGGAAGAATAGGCGGCGAGACGAATGCGCCGTTTCCGCGTGCGCCCGCGTGGGTAGTTGCCCGTTTGGGACGAGTCTGCCTCGGCATTGAGAAATGAAAACGACCCGAAAGGAGGCCTGGCAGCAGCGGACGCAGCTCAAGGCGGCGGAAGATAAACGAACCGCTGGAAGCAGCGCTGCTTTACCGAGTGTCTGTGCGCCACCCGCGCGGATACCCACTTTCGTACACGCACGCACACACAAATGCAGGCAAATATACACACACGCATGCACGCATGCGCGTGCTTCTGTGTGTTAGAGGAAATTAGGAGCTCACCCAGTTAGAAACAGCCTCGATGATAACCAACAGATAATGACACAAAACGAACTGCAGGGAACTTTTGTTGTATAGTCTTAGTTAGACGCAACCTTCATGATAACCAACAGACAATGAAACCAAACGAACTGCAGAGAACTCTAGCTGTAGTCTTATTATAACTGTAGTGTAGTTGACATAACTGCATTTGGTGGAGTGTCGTATATATATACGTGTCATACAGCGGTTGTATGTTCGGTCCATGACGGCGACACGTAGTCGCGGGCTATATTTTCGTGTCTCGCGGGAATTGAAGTAAGCAGAAACATCCACCAATGCATACCAAAAAATCCACATCACAAAATGCCGCGCGTGAAAAGCGAGGAATAAAGAGGGAAATAAAAACACGAGAAAGAACGCCATAGGAAAGGTGAATTGCTGTGCAGCTGTATGTACCGTAATGAACGCAACACACACACACACACACACACACACACACACACACACACACACACACACACACACACACACACACACATATATATATATATATATATATATATATATATATATATATATATATATATATATATATATATATATATATATATATATATATATATATATATTGTGTGTGTGCGTGTGTGTATAGCAATCGAGAGCTCAAACGTGATAATACGGAAGCCCGATTCTTGCTCGGGAGGCTTCTAAACCAATTCAAGCTCCGATCGCTAGAATTGCATTAAGGTCGACGGCGGTATGCAGACATTAAGGCCGGCAAAGGCCCGGTGACAGCGCACGCATGCCTGTCTATACCCGGGCTCTAACGCACCAAGCTCTCAATGACGAAGGACGGTTCATTGTTCTGGTCTCTCGAGAGCTTTTCCTGATGACCGGCCTAATGGTAGCGGGGCTTCACGAGGTAGGCGTTGGCCCCGCCCAGCGTGGAAAAGCTGCGACGACCGGAGCTCTCGAAGCGTTTCCTACAAGCGGCGAGGCGGAGTTTCGTGAGGTCATGATCATAAATGGCGTACGTGTTTGACCTGTATCGTATATTTCAGCCAATAACTTTTGATGGCCGCGAAATTCAAGTACCGCAGAAGGCACTCTCCTGTTGCCTCTTTTCACGGTGTCACCAAACCACATCGCGGCAGTGAGATATATTCTAGGCTATATAGCTCTGAGGTCAGGACTTACAGATCTACATTGTCGTTGTTGTTGAGCTCAAAAGGGCTCGACGCAGCCAACGTTGGACCTTACTGCGTTATATTGTTCGGACGGACAAATTATTGTTTCATATCTTTATAGGAATATATTTCGCCTTCATGATTTCACTATTAGATAAAATTGAGGTCCAGGCTTTTATGTTTCATTTTTGCGCCGAAACTTACTTGTTAACTTCAATGTGACATCACGAATTTCAATGTCTTTTTTGCGAGTTTTGGTTGCGTTGGTTTAATGAAGTTTTCTGAAGATTACTATGGGAATGCTTTCGGTCCCTTAAAACGCAATGTAACTTTTCTTTATCGACTAACCCCCGTATTCTAAACCTCCCTTCACTCAACTCTTCGCCTTCACTTGAGAAAGCCGATGGGAGCGCCATCTCTAGGCACGGCAAGTCACTGCATATCAGTTTTTGTCAGCTGCGATTCTCGAGTAGCGCAGTGTCAATTTCAGCCGAGTGGCTGCGCAGTGCTCAACTTTCTCAAGTGAAGAGTGAAAATCGAGTCGAGGAACGTTTGTGAATACGGGGGTAAGCCTTGCGTGCCTTAGCAGACGCCGTAAAAATCATCGCGGGTTGGTGCGGTAACTTCAAGGCGGCGTCTTCACTTACGTTTTCTTTTTCTCTTGTTCTTATCGCCTGCCAGGAGTATACTCTGGCAGTGAGTGTGGTGCTTCAGCATTGTGAAATATTAACTTCAGTATAATTTCTGGAGTTTAATGCCCCGTAACTGGGAAATTCAAGATTTTTTTTCTTCTTTGGAATCCGGTCAATAACGCATACTCATAGCATCTGTGGTGGGCGCCGCGCAACAATTATTGAAGAAATAATGTGCCCACTGATATCGAGAGTACAATTACAAAATCTGCTTTTTTTTTTCTTTAATTCTGTGCAGAGCTGCTTGATGGAGCGGGACAACGCGCTGTTCGGCCAGCTGCTGGGCCTGCACCAGAGTATCGCGGAACTGAGGCGCGAGGCGAGCCAGCCGGCGGCGACAACGAGCAGCGCGCAAAAGCCACCCAGCCGTCCCGCCTCCCTCGAGTCTCTCGCGTCTTCTTCGTCTTCGTCCGAGCCGGGCTGTCGAAGGTGCTCTGTTGCCGGCGGTCAGCTGAGGCGGAGGCGGGCCCTGTCGCAGACGTACGATTCGGGCGTGCAGTTGCACTACGGCTCGAGCCATTCCGAATCCGACCACGAGGTGTTCGTCTGAACGCTGTCGTCGACGCCAGAAAACACTGGTGCGGCTCGCGTTTAGCCATCCATGCACGTCGCGTCAATTACGAGTGCTTGTGCCCTTTGTCTGGATATGCTAATCGCACGTGCTCCGTGGAATGAACAGTACAGTTTGCATTGCGTCAGCCGGACTTTCTTGCTAAGTTTCACGGGCTTAGCGAAGTAAATGCGTGTTTTTTTTTTTGGTTTCTTCGCGTGTATTTTATACATTTTTTTGTGTAGGAACGGTGGTGTCGTGCACACAAGACATGCGACAACTTCAAACACTGTGGATCTCTCGTGCTGTTTGACTAATGCAACCGAACTGAGTATGTATGACTGAAGTGCATGAGCCTGACGATGTGATAGATTTTCGATGCTTTTCTAGCTTACGGCGCAAGAGCCATGAGCAGTAGTCAAACCATATTTCGTCGGGGCGACAACGCCACAGATTGTGGCCGTGAGATGTTCGTGGAATCCGGCGATGAAATTCTGTTACGAGCCGCCACAATTTACAAACTGTTGACTCAGTTGCCCCGAACTTTGTTAATACTGCCTACGACAAGAGACAAAAAGTTGCACATTTTTCTACACAACGGTGTTTGAATGACTCCACAAACAAGTACTCTGCTTCACTGCATCTGTATGTTTACTACAGAAGACAAAGGTATCGAAAACTGTCGCTAAAGTGTCGTCCTTTTGAAGGGTGTTGTGGTATGACTCAGCAATCCTCTTGCCCTGTGTGTTCGCCGTGTTGGTTTATAAGAATTTATAGCTGTGTTAGTTCGTAATACGTTTTGGTAAGAGCTTCAGAGGGAGAGGAAAACATACAAACACCCAAAAATCTAACCAATATCCCTCTTTTCACCTAGTTACTTGTGTGAAAATTAGATACCTATATTTATTTGTGTGTATGTTGCAGCACTCTTCACGTTTCATTGCCCCGCCTGTGTGGAATTTGCAAAAACTGTTTGCTGGTGTGGTAAGCAGAAAAGCACTCTACGCTATGCATCATCGATTTACGTATATCATTTGTCTTTCTTTAGAGCTGTTACAAAATAAAGTAGCGTTTTGTTTGAAGCACTCTGCTGGTGCTTTACTTGGCGACAAAAAGAAGTTGCAGAGCGCAAACGGTGCTGCACATGCGCCTTGTCCTTGTCTCGAAAGTTTGAGTTCTGGTATAATATGTGTAACCAGGTATCCCGTCAACCTCCGCTATACGAAAAAAAAAATATTAGCCTGCACATGCTAGAATTACACTCTATGCTACAAAAAAAGTACTATATGGCGAAACATTCTCTAGGTAGTTTTTTTTTTTAACACGAAAGTGTTTCATGCTGGGAACCATCAAAACTTCATTGACATACGTCCGCAAAAAAAAAAAAAAAACGAGGTCGAAAAAATGTAAAGGAGTAGGTGAAGAGTTGCCAGGTCACGCTCCAATAAGCATACATAGACTAGTGGCCTGGGAAATTTTGACCCCCCCCCCCCTGTACATGGTAACATGCCAAAAAAATCGCAGCATATCCACGGAGTGATTGAGAATGAGTTCGCGAAGCGTCTGTCTGTCTGTCTGTCTGTCTGTCTGTCTGTCTGTCTGTCTGTCTGTCTGTCCTTGCGTTCATCTGTCCGTCCGTGCATCAGTACGTCCCTCCACCCGCCTGTCCGTCCATCCGTGCTTCCGTCCGTCCGTGCGTCCGTCCGTCCGTCCGTCTGTCTATCTGTTTGTCTGGTACGTCTAGTTGCGCCTGACGCAGGACAAAGTCAAACTAAGAGAAGCTGCGTCACTAAAAGTTCCCTGAACAACCGTCAAACCCACGATATCTCGGTCCAGGGCAGCAGAACCCGGGCACGTTTTTCGCTGCGTCATGGTCACACAGTGTGGCAGCTCTTTGTACTCTACTTATTTGTACGTACATTGCTTTCCTCTCTTTCTCGTTTCCATACCTATTTCATAATCCCCAGTGCAGGGTAGCAAACCGGACACGCGTCTGGTTAACCTCCCTGCCTTTCTTCTTTTTGCTCCCTCTGTCTCACACTTACCTCCCATAGTGATCCTGATCGGCGGGTTTGCGTCGCCCGCTGGCAAAGTGAAGCAATGCGTCATGACAGTGGCCTCCGCGATACCTCCCTGAACGCATCGTTGCTACGCGTCTGTGCCATCCGGCATCCTTCCGCAATTTTGTGAACGCGTTAACACAGCGTTAGATAACGAATATAGCTGAAGCGTCGACCTTTGCACATAGCATCAAATGATACCAAAAATAGCTCTGTGACACGCGTTTGCACTGCATGGCTGTATCACTGAGTTTTCCACCGGCCCCGAGAACAATATGACGCGCATTGCCATTTTTTTTTGTCAACGCGAGTGGATCAGTGGCTAGGGTGTACTGGGTGATATCACAGTACGCTAAACACCAGATGATCGAAATTTCCGGAGTTTCCCACTTCGGTGTCTCTCATAATCATATCATAGTTTTTGGTTTGTAAAACTCCACATAATAATAATAATAATAATAATAATAATAATAATAATAATAATAATACTGCTGCTGCTGCTTGCCCCGCCGCGGTGGTCTAGTGGCTAAGGTACTCGGCTGCTGACCCGCAGGTCGCGGGTTCGATTCCCGGCTGCGGCGGCTGCATTTCCGATGGAGGCGGAAATGTTGTAGGCCCGTGTGCTCAGATTTGGGCGCACGTTAAAGAACCCCAGGTGGTCAAAATTTCCGGAGCCCTCCACTACGGCGTCTCTCATAATAATATGGTGGTTTTGGGACGGTAAACCCCACAAATCAATCAATCAATTACTGCTGCTGCTTTTATGTCTGGTACGTGTATGACGTTGACGGCCTTAGCCCAAGTTGTTTAGCATCCAATAAGCGATGCTTTTCGGGCTGTCACACCACTTTCTCTGATTACGCTATCACCGTTAAAAGGTCTCTGCCACGCTTTCCCATCGCATTCTTCAGCGCTAGAGTCTACGTAGCGCCGAATATTGAGACGAACGCAAAAAAGAACGATCCAAATCGGTGCACGGTAACGGAAGTTGTTTCCCTTCGTGGCTACTTTGATTTCCGGCACTTTCTTAACGTCCATCGGCTCTTTCTATTCGTAAGCTGATAGTGGGCGCAAGCCACGATTCTCGGCGTGAGCCGCGGTGACGAAGGGCCACCATGACTCTGCTGGAGTTCACCGGCTGCTCGCTGCTGGGCTTCGGGCCGACGCTGTCGATGTTCGTGCTCACCGTGGCGGGACAGCCGAGCCGCGTGATCGTGTTCTTGACGGGTTCCTTCTTCTGGCTGCTCTCGCTGCTGCTCGCCTCTCTCGCCTGGCTGCTACTTGTGCCCCTGCACAATTACAGCGCGCCGGGGGTCGCCATCGCTGCCCTCTCACAGGTACGCTCCATTCTGTTGGCAATTACACGTATACCTAGCATCTATCTATCTATCTATCTATCTATCTATCTATCTATCTATCTATCTATCTATCTATCTATCTATCTATCTATCTATCTATCTATCTATCTATCTATCTATCTATCTATCTATCTATCTATCTATCTATCTATCTATCTATCTATCTATCTATCTATCTGTCTATCTATCTATCTATCTATCTATCTATCTGACTATCTATCTATCTATCTCTCTATCTATCTCTCTATGTATCTCTCTATGTATCTGACTATGTAAATATCTATCTATCTCTTTGTGCATCTGTCTGTCTGTCTGTCTGTCTGTCTGTCTGTCTGTCTGTCTGTCTGTCTGTCTGTCTGTCTGTCTGTCTGTCTGTCTGTCTGTCTGCCTGCCTGCCTGTCTGCCTGCCTGCCTGTCTGTGTATCTATCTGTCTACATATCTATTGTCTATGTATCTATCTATCTAAACTGATATGTGGTGTGACGACCTGCGCCCTCATGAGCTTTCATCGAGTGAAAGATATACAGGCAATGATTTTTATAAATACAGTCAAACGCACTTATAACGATACCGTTTTTAAAATACATCCTCTGTAACAATGTGATGTTGCTGCACCGCCAACTTCTGTATGTTTTTTATGGTGAAGTAACCCGCTAACAGCTATGTTCGCGTGTCGAATTATCGGTTATAACAATGAATTCTAGACGTTGTGCGTCTTTGATGAAAGGTAATGGGACGAAAAATCTTCGAGAAGAAAGAAAAAAAACGAAAGTTCAATTATCCGCCCACAATCCAGCGTTCCCCAGCGCCCCTTCGGATTCACAATATGCTTCACCACGTAGCGTTATGGCATTGCGGCAAGGCCGAGATTTCGCGATCCACTACGGTGTGGCAGCTGCGGTCGATGCAACTTGAGTGAAAATATTGAGGTTTGGAAGAGTTTGAGCCTCAAAAACTTTAGAAGTTGTCATACTTTGACTCTAGGTGGCTTGTGGTGGTCCTGTGGAAGTGTCCGAATTCGCGAACATGTCTGAAAAGTACACAGCTTTGTCATCCTTAAATGGATGACAACAATTTCTGCAACAATTTCTGAGCATGGTCAGAAAATGCTGCCGATTGGTAGAAGAGGCACCCCAGAACATGTGAGCTAAATATTTTAGTGTGATATGTGGCCTAGAATTCACAATAAATCATGAAAGGCAGCTAAAAACTGCTTTCTCTGCTCTCGACAAATTATGAAAGACGCTCAAAAAACACTCGTATAAGGCCATCTATCAGCCATTGGCTGATTTTAACATGACGCGCTCAGTCGTTACAGGGATCGCCGCGGGAGGCCGCGACTTGTCCACGCGGGCACGCACGACCACACTGAAAAAGACGCGTGTTCGAAGAAAAAACAAAAACAAAAGTGCTCAATGTCACGAGGCGTGCGTGACGTATTTTCTTCGCCCCTGTCATGCCTCCCTGCCTAGCTTCCAGCACTTTCGTCAGGGACGAGAGAAGAGAGAATGCGATTGCAGCGTGCAACAAATATTTGTAACTCTGCTCGTCACTGGACGCACTCCTAAAATTCTTGCGGCGTTGAATTCGTGTCGGAATAAGCGCTTCATGTGAGTCCATTTCATGGTTACTTGAAAAAGTGTTTCAGGGCCCCTTTAATAATGGTGTATTTTGGCCTATCCCATCGGATATTATAGTTTTCTCATAAGAACTTGCCGTCTCCTATATTACTTCTTTCGTTCAACTCGTTTAAAGCAATTATCAATTATAACAAAAGAATCTTCAAGGCAATTGAGTATTGATAAAATGTATTTGTTTTATCTTTAACGATAAGTAGCGGAAAAACATATAAGATCAAGCTGATTGGTGTTGTTCTTTTTACATTGCATGCCCTGCCGCGGTGGGCTAGTGGCTAAGGTACTCGGCTGCTGACCCGCAGGCCGCGGGATCGAATCCCGGCGTCGGCGGCTGCATTTCCGATGGAGGCGGAAATGTTGTAGGCCTGTGTGCTCAGATTTTTGTGCACGTTGAAGAACCCGAACCCCTGATGGTCGAAATTTCCGGAGCCCTCCACAACGGCGTCTCTCATAATCATATGGTGGTTTTGGGACGTTAAACACCACATATCAATCAAGTCTTTTTACATTGCATGCGGGTGATTCAACAAAATCAAGACGCTTGCATGCTATGGAAAACCTCTTATAGACCGCTCTATAGCAAGATTTCAGTTAACTTTCTTCCCGCAGGAGTGCTTCCGCCTTCTCTTCTTCCGTGTGCTGCGTAAGGCCGAACGCGTGCTGAACGCGGTAGTGCTGACTGGTGCCGAGAACGCTATGCGATCTCGCTTGGCGTTCGCGTACACGGCTGGCCTCGCTTTTGGAGCCATGAGCGCTCTCTTCTCGCTCCTCGGCCAACTTACCGATGCTCTGGGACCCGGAACGGCCAGCATTTTCGGTGGTACGCCACGACGTCTAAGTGTGGTAGCAGTCACTGCAGGAACCTTCAGGTATACATGTGCGAATGCATCACGCATATCACGTGGAGCAAAGGAAAACGCGCAATCTTCTTTGGGAGTAAAGTTGTGCGTAAGCGTCAAAATTCCGTTGTATAGGAAGCTCCTGTCGTTGCGACTTTCTCTGGAACTTGCAGTGAACACGAACACGAATGGTTAGCATTGTAGAAATAAAAACCTTACATGCTGTCTCAAAATAGCGTGATTCGCTGTAAATGTCGATGTTCTTCCGCAGCCGCCTTTTTCGTGCATAGCGTCGTATTTTCAGCGCAGCGCCTGAACCACTAGGGTCTTTAGTATTACGCATCTATGTATTTTCTAGTAAAGGAACACACCACCTATATAGTACTTACGTATTGATATTGCACCCCAGATATGCGTAATATTTGCTTTTTGATCGACAATGTACACAAGTGTGAACGCAGTCACCACTTCAAGATGGCTGGGCGTTCAGCAAGGGCTTAAACGTTTGCCGGGTGGCGGAATCGTGTGACAGACAGACAGATAGACCAAAATTTCTGCGTTCAAAAAGCCTGGTCCCGATAAGGTTCAATTCTCCCTCTCAAGTATCGCGAGAGAGACTATAGTCTTCAAAAGCCTTCTAGGGTAACTGCATTGTTAAGTTAACCTGAAAAGGGTGCTTCGATTCCACAAGAAACGGCTTGCAAAAGTTTGCACATGGGACGGCAAAAAGGGTGCTTTCCTCCCCTGTGGAGGAAAGCGCCCTTTTTGGGAGTAACTACGAAAATGTATTCATCGTGTGCAAACTACCCGTCAGTGCATGTATACATAACCCCGTTTCCTTCCAAACAATGCCATATGATAGCAGGGCATGGTGTAGTGGTGAGTGTACGCGCATGCCGACCCAGTGGTCGTGATGAGTTAGAAATGTGCTTGCTGTAAATGTTCTGAAACTCGCTTCTGAGCTGATCGACTGTATGTGTGTCGTACATCTATAATCACATAAACCTCGAAATGCTGGTTAAGTCAAACAAGAACTCATTTTTCTCTCGCAGCATGTACCAGTTGCTCCACTCAAGAGTATCGGGAAGCAGCAACTGTTAGTAGCAACTGCGACGGGGGGAGTAACAGTTCGTCCCTTCGCAGTTACACCCAAGAAGGGAGGAATAGCTGTTGCAGGTTATAGTTACTCCCTTAAAGGAGCAACTTCGATACTCCTCTTCCTCTTAACACAAATGTTGAGAGGATAACTGCAGACGTGATACGTAAGCTTTTTCTAACGTATATTTGCAACATCGTTGGAAGTGTGTCGAGAAAACCAGCATGGGCATCTGCAGCGTTTCGGCAAGTGTTCGTACTTCAGAAGGACTCCTAAAGGCCTGCTGTGCGAGATTTCTGCTCGTGATGTTATTGCGCAGTGTACTGCATGTCTTCTGGGCCCTGGTCTCCTTCCACGCGCTTGACATGGGCCGATGGTCAATGCTCGCCTTCGCGCCAGCCGCTCACGTGGCCGCATCGGCGGCGGCGCTGTTCACACCCGACGGCGAATACGCCATCTTCGCGGGCGCCCTCTGTGCTGTCCTGGCGGTGTCCGCAGCGATGGCGTTCCACGCGGCCGGAGGCAGCGCTAAAAACGTTGCCGTTTTATTTGCGCGTGACTCCAAGGGATAAGCCACGCCTGAAACATCAATGATTTGTGACTGAAGCAACGACACCTCCAAATGTTGTTGTATTTTTGCGTTGAGTTTTTATAGTTAAACCGGTTCGTTAAATGAAAATTGATTTTTTTTTTCATATCGGAGCTTACGCAGCCGTTCTTCTGATAACGGTTTCAATTAAGGTTTTGCCTAAAACTCGTCTGGTCCGGAATGCGCATTGTATATACGTGGTCGGTGTATTCATTTTACCTTCAATTGACTATATTCATTTTACCTTTAATTGACTATAGGAACACTTTCTTCAAGCGCGACCGACATCGGCGTAATGTACTATAAATGACAGTGAAAAATAAAGGCTAACGGACCTCGTTCTGGGGCACCTCGTGTGCATGTGACGCCGCCATCTCCGCCATGGATGGCGGGCAGGGTAGCGGACTATCGCGTTGGAGCCGGTTCGCCGGCAACCACTCTTCACTCTGCACTGCAGAGAAAAGGCCCGAGTATTCGTGTATTCACGTGCGCGATACCGAGTTCAGTGTTGGCATATAAAGCCATGGCTAGGGTCCAATTAACAATTTAAGAATATTTCTATTCTGCCAGGATAGTGCAGTGCATGGGTGCAGACGAACGTGGTGTGAGTAGCGTTGAGCAGGGCTTTGCCATATAATGCCGGTGGTGTGCGATCAACGACAACAAAAAACCCCTCTCGTCCTCGCTGAACAAATAACTCGTTCGAAGAAGAGAAATGACTGATGTAATAACGTCGCGTCCGCAGGTTGCACTTTGATGATGATACGTGGGGTTTAACGTCCCAAAGCCACCATATGATTATCAGAGACGCCGTAATGTAGGGCTCTATAAATTTCGACCACCTGGGGTTCTTTAACGTGCACCCAAATCTGAGCACACGGGCTTACAACATTTCCACCTCTATCGGAAATGCAGCCGCCGCAGCCGGGATTCAATCCCGTGACCCGCAGGTCAGCAGCCGAATATGTCTTAGGCACAGACCACCGTGGCGGGGACAGATTTCAGTTTCAGTATTACGCTGTTGTTTCTAAGCGCAAGAAAGCCAGCCAAAACGTTCTCATTTTGCGGACATTTTGGTTTCCAAATTGCTGAGCTACTTTCTGCACGACGATTTCAAAGCACCCCCACATTCTTGGCTTGTATGTGTCCAGCATCTGTCGGTCAATTTCCCAGTTACTGCTCTCTAATCCTTCGGTCCGATAGCGGGCGCATTCATTAAGCTGCTGTTTCGCGCCATTGTTTGTGCGGTGTCAACCATAGGTCGGCGAACACACTCAGTAGATTTTCTCAGACCCACATCGCGCCGCGAGTCTTAGTTTAAGTTGAGTCCATGTGAGTAATATTTTGGTGAGCTTGAGCACAAGTGAGTCTGGTTGAGGAAAATTTGAGTGATGCTGAGTCCGAGTTAGTTCGGTTGAGGAAAGTACTGGTGCGTCCGTGAGTGTAGCTATAAGCGCAAAATATATTTGATGAGTGAGTTGGTCCTATATATCCACTCATCTTCAGCGCTACTACCGGGCTTATGTCGGCTTACGTTTATACCGGGTCTATTCGGATACATCTCAACGCACTATCGTTCATGCGCCGCATCAATGTTTCAATGTTTATTGATCAGAGGTGTGCGTTAGGGGTGTCATGACCTTCCGCCGCAAGCTCTTTCATGTGAAGTTCTTGATGGAAATACGCCCTTCCAGTCGCGGTGGAGACTACAGGAGCACTGAAGAGCTCACCCCACCCCCCCTAACCACCACCCCTTCGCCTCCGGGCAGCTTCATGGCGGCAGAGCACCCCAGGCACCAGCTCACGATAACTTTTCAAGAGCATGGCTTGGGCACCCATTCATCCACCTAAAACTGACTCCTGGCTGTCCTGTTCAGTAGCTACTTGATCGGAGGCTCGTTATGTCAGCTTTTTTTTTTTCCTTTCAAGTTTATAAATTTTGAATCGTGGGCCAGTGACCAGTCAAAACATTCAGTGTAAAATACCCCTAAAGTGGATTTGTATGAGTGGAAGGTGTTGTGTTGATGAACGAGTGAAGCGACAGAAGCTACGGCAAGTTAAATGAAGTCTTTAAGCGCGAAACTGCTAGCCGGACTGGTTTGAAAATATTTAATCTTTTAAGCACTTTGCGCAAAAAAACAAGAACAAAGGAACGATAACATGTATAGGCGAGTGCTCTCTACGAACTGATTTTTTTTAATTACATATACTCAAGGTTTGCAACATGATCTTGATGAATGCAGTTGCTATAGACACGCTGATCTGAAGCATTGTAATCGCGTGTGATTGTTCTATACGGGAGTGATGTGTTTTTGTTACAAGATCACGCAGATCAAGTTGGATACTTGAGCAGATATATTTTCAAAAATAAAGCAGCTAGATTGCGCTTGTCCGTGTGCGTTCTTTTTTTTCGTCCTTGTTTTTTTTTTTTTCGTGCAAAGTTGTTAAAAGATATTTAACCACGTCGCAACTTGTTTTTATCAAACAAAAATACATGTGAAACTTACAAAGCATCCCCGAAACAGATAATGAATGCCTTCGCAGAGAGTTTCTACCCCCCCCCCCCCCCCCAAAAAAAAAAAGATAGAAAAGGCGTAATTTCTTCGTGCTTAAAAAACTGCTGAGAAACGATGGTGCGCTTTTTTATTTATATGCAAGGGGTTCTACAGCCAGTTTGATGATCGAGGAGCCACTCAAATACTCGTCCAGAAAAGCACTTAAGGTGAAAAAAATTCGTAACCCCAGCTTCGTACAAGGTGCAGTGGTAGCAAATTGTATTCCCTACCACTTGTTAATGATTTTTGTCCATCCTATCTTGAATTTACTGGTATAATTGAAGTTTCCTAGTGCAGAACGTGCTCCTTGCGATCCGCCTTGGTGACGTACGCCAACAAGCAGACACAGGCTGCCTTAGGGTTTTGGTGTTAACATCAGCCTGTCCACCCTGAAGGCGTTGCCGTGACTTCTATGGTTTGTACCCATGAAATACAAATCTCAGCTATTCTGTTGTTCCGGAGGTGGAGAAGTTAGAGCAGCGGCCTTGCAGCATGAAATTTTTGACAAACTTAAATAAATCGAGCTTCTCTTCTTCCGTCAGCAGCGGGTAGAAAGGAGTGGCGATTGCGAACAAGCCTGAAAAACAAAAAATCAAATTCTCAACATAACAAAACAAAAATCTGCCCTGTTTTGTTTATGCTTCCTTATTTTTATTTTTTTCGCAAGAAGCCATAGAACTGTGGTGCACGTGAGAGAGAGAGAGATAAAGATGCAAGAAAAGGCAGGGAGGTTAACCAGACGCACATCCAGTTTGCTGCCCTGCACTGGGGAAGGGATAAAGGGGAGAAAAGAGGTTGCAGAGAGATGAGAAGGTACACACAATCACGAGCACACTCGGGGAGCACACACAGTCTACAGGCGGTCGCTCAGGTTTGTTGACTTTAGGTAAATTAGCAGTGCTTTAGTTGCTTTCTGTGCAACTGAGGCAGATGCCCAAGGTCCTAGTATCTTCTGCACACAAAATGGTCCGGGGTCAAGTTGATTCAAAACCATCCGGAGCTGGCATCGCTGTGTGTCGTAGCAAGCGCAGCTGCACAGGACGTGTTCGATGGTCTCTTCATCTCCGCAGTAGTCACATGTAGGAGTGTCTGCCATACCAATGCGAAAGGAGTACACCTTTGTAAATGCAACACCTTTGTAAGTGCATGTGATTGCGGAAGGTTTTGGTAAAGATGAATCACCTGCACCTCCAGTCAAAGCCTTCTTCATTTTTACACTGAACGAAATACAGCACAAAAGAGTAGCAAGAACCATGAAAGCAACTATTCAGGTATGCATGCAGAGTTTTTAGGCAGCTACTTGAAATTTCTTTATATATAAAGCCAGGGTCTTTGTCGATAGCGCAAATATGTCCAGGAAAGGGATAATTATAATGATGATTTGTGGGGTTTCACTTCCCAAAACCATCATATGATTAGAAGTGCAAATTATAAACTGCATCTAGCAATTCCAATGCTTTGAACGACATTATTCTATTTATTACTAATTTATTGTTACGGCAACACCTACCTGAGTTTTAGCAAGGTGGGATACAATACGCGAAAGAAAATGCAACAAATAATGGCCCTCAAAGCACATGTACACTGCTATTATTACTGTAAAAAAACTCCAAAAAATTAGAATCAGTCATTATTCAAAGCGTTTATAAAATGCTCAATTGAATCAAAACAGGCAACATGCATGCAATACATACAGCCGCTATGAAAACTAATTGTATTTCAGCCATCAAGAAGTGGTGATAATGCTGACAAAGAATGTACTTGAACGATGTAGCTGCTAAGTTTACTCCAATCTCTGACTGTTCGCGGAAAAAAGTATACTTGAAAGACTCGTTATGAAAACAAAAAAGCGTCCATACCTTTGGAACGTTGAATAATCGTAAGAAAATAAATAAAATATGCACGCTCATGGGAGGCCTAGGTCCAGCCGCGTAAACTTGCTGGTTTCCATACAGAACTTATTCCTCCTCCACCTCGCTAACTTCGACATTACAGTGCCCTTAAACTAGTTGATATAAAAATTTCAGACGTGATGAGCGGCTTCTTTCAGAAAACCGGGTTAGATTAACTCGAGCTTGTAAACTGGGTTCTTGCTAAAGGGTAATAAATATTGCGAATGATTTTTCCGCAATTCCATGATGTGGTGGTAGGGTTTAACAAAAAGAGTCCTGATAGTAAATATCAGTGAGAAAATACACCATCGCTCTTTGTGTCGTACAACTATTCAGAAGTTTAAACACATGCATTCGCTATGAATATACGGCGACAGTTAAACAAAAACACTCGCTTCTGATTGGTTGAATTGCGAAAGTATCGTGGAGGAAAGAAGGGAAGCTGCAAGGGATAGTTTTTTCTTGTTATACTCGACATTAACGAGAAATAGTTATACTCGACATTAACGAGAAATAACAAAAAATTATGCCTAGGAAAGCATGGGTGATGTTGTTTGCAATGATTATGATGAAAATGTTTTCTTCACAATCGTTGTGAAGAAAACATTTCCATCATAATCATTACAAATATTGTTTGTAGTAATTATGAGGGATGTTGTTTGGGGGATGTTGTTTGTAATAATTATGATGCAGTGCATCATAATTATTACAAACAACATCTCCCATGCTTTCCTTTCGGCATCATTGTCTGTAAAAAGAACGGAAAGATAACTTGCTGCCGGTGGCGACTGCACCTGCAAATTCATTCTGTCCTTGGCATTATTGTCAGTTAGTTTTAGGGGCGAAGCTCCTTATAGCGTGGCTTGTGCGTCCCTCGTTGTCGTGTGTACCCACCGGCGGCACCTATTCGAGAGAGCCGTCCCTAGAATGTGAGCTGGACGGTGATACTTGTATATGATGAATACATGGTGAAAAGATGTGAGATGGTGGTAGAGTGTTCACCAGATAGATGGACGAACGGACGGACGGACGGAGTGATGGACGGACGGACGGACGGACGGATGGACAGTCAGACAGGCAGGCAGGCAGACGGGCGGACGCACGGATGGACGGACGGATGGACAGGCAGAGGGACGGCTGCACGAACAGGCGCACGAACGGATGGACAAACACAGACGACTCATGGGCGGACGGACGCATCGACGGGCACACGGATGGACGTACACACAAATGAATGCGCGGACGGACGCCAGCGAGCACGAATGGACGGACGGAAGCATGGACGGACTGACGAACGCTTTGCCCCACCAATCATCATTCACTCCGTGGATATGCTGTGATTTTTTAAATAACAAAATACATTGTGATATTAAGACGCTTTAGATTTTTTTTTTCTTTGAGCTATTGACCAGCAGGGTCTTTAATAAGAACGCAGGTGTGATCGTGTATGTCCCCGTAGGGACATGTTTGTTTGCAATGTCAATATCGTTACTGAAGTGTGCCTACAAAGATATTCTTTACACACACATAACTACGAGGATTATACAAACATAATTTACACTACAATTACTACCAATAAGAAACATTTACATTACAGATATTCCTAATAAGTTTAATAACGTCCGCTGTACTTTCCTCGGCAACGTCGTTAGTTCTCATTCATATTGTGTCTTACAAAGAAGAAACGAGCCTTACAAAGATAACTCGGATAAGAAAAAAACTAAGAGTGTGTCGCATACTCACGAGCAACGTCGTCGATATTGGCACTTTTGACGTTGATTCGAACCAATTCGCAGCTCAGTGGAACAATCCCCGTTTGCTTGACAAGCTCGGAGAGGTTCTTTCTCAAAGAGACAGCGTCGCCAAGTTCGTGGTATACTGGCACGGACATCACCTGTCGACGATTGGGAAAAGAACACTTTCACAGGCTGTGGCTTTGACCTGTTTATCGGGACTGTTGTACGAATATTAACAATGCGCTTTCTCACTCTTTTCGTAAATTGAAGCCGCTTGTAAACCGTGCAACGTTTGTATGCTCCCTTTACGCAAAGCCCCGAATGAGCGTCTATAGGGTACCCTGCTTGAATTAATTAATTAATTATTGATTAATTAATTATTTACCGCGCGAGTAAGAAATCCTTTTTTATTTTGAAATTTGCAACCGAAAAGGGTATGAAAATGAGCCTGAACGTTGCATTTGGCCAAGATGGATGCAGTTTCTCACTTTAGAGAAACTAAAGTGAGCAGAAAAATATTGTCCTTGTTGGTTCGGGTCGACAACTTTGCTCGAAGCTCTCATTGCCTGCACTTCTGGCCCCACCTCGTTTCATCATTTTTATGTGCCTCTATGCAGAGTAGCAGCACTGTTAGTGCCCAGAGGCAGGCAGTATCTTGCCCCCAGGCGGTCGTTGTGCGATTGTACGACGTTGTAAAGTAAATATACAATCCAATCTACCCCGAGTGTTGAAGAGATGTTACTGAGCATGGACAGGCACGACAGCGTACATCCTGTGTTCGCTGTCCTGCCTATATTGTATACGCGGTTGACGATCTCGTGAAATGGGTTTCGATGATATCGCTGCATCTACGTTATTAGTAGATACTTTTCAGCCAGCCCCTGTCTCAAACATGACGTCACAGGAACTGATCTCGCTATCCACTTCGAAACGGCGGATAAACCAAGGCAGTTTTAAAAAAATTGCTGGAGTGGAAATTCTTGCTCACAAGTGAAGCTGTGCCAACCGTTAGATGGCGGCTACGGTAGCCATCTTACTAGGGGCATGAGCTGTTCACAGTCGGCGATTGAGAAGGAGCGTTGTCCTCGCGCGCCCAACGAGTTTAACGTGGCAACATTTCAGGGTCACATAGTGCTAAAAGTGTGTCCTTGTGTTACTAGTTTTCTTTAGTAAGCCTCAAATTCAAGGCAAATTTTATTGGAGATTAAGTCTCCAACACTAGTCTCTGCGGAATATTTCTTCGGAAACAACTACCTTTCAAATTAGAATCGACATAGCCTTTAGATTAACAGATCAAAGGATGTCTAAGTGGGCAGCACTAGAAGATAGCATGTTCCTGAGATCCGTGGAGGGCAAAAGCTGGCTTCACTACTGCTGGCAAAGCATTGCGGGTGCTTCCACTCCAGCCATTTTTTTAAACCTCCTTGGTACGAACATGCGTTTTTCAACGCAAAGACGTGCGCTGTAGGTTCCCCATCGGGTCCGGGGGTGGGGTGACGAACACTGATCGGAGTGCCCCCTTCCTTTACTAAGTCCGAGTATTGAGCAGAGTTTGTGCTCTCCCCAACCGACCCGTCTCTCTCTCTCTCTTTCTCTCTTAAACTAAGGGGGCAGCACCAGTCCCTGCTCTCCCCCTCTGCATGCGCTCAGCTATGATTAGACTACTTTTTAAAGAGAAAAATGACGCAAAAAAGACACAATAATACAGTTTATATTTATAAATAATTATATTCTAAGAATTATAATGTGAATACTTTCGCAGTCATAAGCTCAACAATAGAAGACGAAATCAAGGTTCAAAGTTGAAATTTCAAGTTCAGCGCCGAAATCTCAGCGTGTAACGTCACGGACTTCATGTTCAGCATTTTATATAGAGACATTGGCTCCACGAAATTTTGTTAATCTAATACGTTATAGCCGCCTCAAAGCGCAATGTACTTGATTTTTATTGACCAGGAACTACGTAGAACCTAGTAGATGCCTTCAAAATCCTATGGCGTCAGGATTTGATGCGGGAATGTCAAAGTGATGTCGGCATTCGTATAATTTTCTCTTTGCACGTTTCGCCATTTCCCAAGCGTGTTTCCACGACAAGCGTGTTGACTTTAGAATTGTAAGAGAACAATTTTCTAATACAAAAAAAAATCTATTTCTCTTTAATGTCGCTTCAACCAGTCGGCCACCGCTCTGAAAGATTACAGAATAGTACATGTCTCGATAAAAATATGTGGATGTAGCTAGGCTTCATGTGGGCCTCTTTAGCTGAAGTAATGTTCAACGCCAGCGTTTACTTACATCGCGGTATTTTGCCCACGATTCACTCTCCAGGAAGGCTCGATTCAGCATAGCTGGTCCCGGCTGCGGGTTGTAAACTATAAGGCACTCGCCTCCAGGTGTCATCAGGCGCTCGATGTTCTTGAGCGCAGCTGCCCTGTCTTGTATCCAATGGAGGACGAGAAAAGAGTATATTCTCTGAAATCGGCCTTCCTCTGCGATGAACCGGTCGACGTCCTTGTCCACAGTTATGTCCAGCAGTCGGTGATCGATCTTGGCGTGACCGTGCACCCTTGCCGCATAATCCACCATTGCAGCCGAGTTGTCGCAAGCCACGAGTCTCTTCAGCGTCGGTGGGCACAAGGGAAGCAGGTAGTTGCGCGTAAAGTTGCCCGGTCCGCAACCGACGTCAAGGTACTGGTGCTCGCTCGCGCCACTGCTATTCGAGCACGTAAAAAACGACGCCTGCCAAGCCTTGAGAAGCTCGACAGTGGCTTGTCGATCGGGTTGCCTAACTTCCTTCGTAGACCTTCGGTACGTTATGATGGGCGAAGGGCTGTGTTGCACCAGCGACGGGTTTTCTGTGCGTAGCCATGGCGTCTCAGAACTGCCTGTGCCGTTAAGGTAAGAGAGCGCAGTGAAACAAGCCTGAAAAGGAGCGAAGGAATCGATTGCACTTTGCACCACATTCCATTTTCATTTGGCCCAATAGCAAAGAAATGTTTAAGACTTTTTTCCTTTGAAATAGGAGCCGTGCGTACAACCATGTACTAGACTACCGATCAGGTAAGTTGGCATTGGTAGAGCTCAATGGTTTGTTTGTGAGACGAGTGGATGATGAATGGTTTAGTATTTCCAGCACGTCTCGACATTGCCCCACAAGCATGCCCGGACCAAACTCTGAGCGGTCATTTTGCTCTGCGCGTTAGAAGAAAAAAAATCCTGAACCCTTACCAAACTTCTTTCCAGTACTTTAAGGAATTTAATAGAAAGAAATTTTTTAAGAACCGACGGTTATGGTATTGGGGCAATATCAGCTGTGATTGCAGCCATGTAACATTCCCAGAATCTGTCAGTGTTCGAGTGCTACGCACGCCACTCTTTCCATGGCAGGTGTCACCAACCGAGCGAAATGCCCACAGCCTCGTCATGACAAGCGAAGCCAGTCCACAGCCGGGCTAGAGAAGCGGCACACGCGCGCTGTCTTGCCGTGGCCAGTCGTAACGTACGCGACAGATCTGCACGCACACGAGCTTCGACCGAGGGACCAGTGCCAGCGTCCGTGGCGCAAGAAAGCGAGGTTAGAGGCCAGTGGCTCGTAATATCAACGGACTCCGCTTGCTTTCGTCTTCGTTCGCACTATTTCACACACTGTCCCCACTTGTTCGCTCTATCTGTTACGCCGCCAGCGCCAACGGCGACGCCTCTCAACTCTCTCAATCAGGGCTTACACGGGATTTTTTCGGAGGGAAGTACCTCTATTATTTCGGGTAGGGCACCCCTTTATTATGGTCATTTTTCCACTCTCGATGTCATGGTGAGAAAAAAAATTCCGCCATATCCACGAAGTGAATGATGATGAGTGGGCGAAGCTCCGGAGGTAAACCTGGTAAACCATGAATCCTCTGTACATTTCGCCCACTCGATTTTATTACATCGCTCCCCCTAGCGTACGTCGCCGCACTAAATCGAACGATTGCCTTCAACCAATGACACGCGCCATATGTGACATCATTCCTATTTTATAAGATCTCGCGTCTTTCATCAACTACAAGTACCGCTTTCTAGTTTATAACATCTTGCATCTTTTCATCATCAGCTACAAGTACCACCATCTAGTAAACACTACAAGAACTAAACGAGAGGTGGCTACATACAGGAGACGGTACCGCCATCTAGTGAACACTGCAAGAACTAAACTAGAGGTGGCTACATACAGGGGACGGTACCACCATCTAGTAAACACTGCAAGAACTAAACTAGAGGTGGCTACATACAGGCTACAGGGGACGCACAGCCCACGCCCTAAGGAGCTTCGCCCCTAAAATTCGGGGGCAGGCAAGGGCCCGGTGTGCCACAGTCTGGCTACGCACGCGGGAACGGGAGCCAAAGAGGTGCGCCAAGTACTCACCTTATGCACCGAAGAAAAATGCTTACAGCGCAGGATGTTACCGCCTAGACTGACAAGCTATTCTCTTGTAATCCACTCGTCCCTTCTCGTCATCTTCTCTCTTTTTTTTACATCTTTTTATCCCCCATCTCCACTCCTAACAGATTTCAGGCATGTGCCCCACGGCAGGAGGCAGAAAACAGTGTCCCGTTATTCTTTTTCTATTAAGGATGACTGCCAGTTGGGCGTGTTGGTAATGGTTCATGATGAGACAAGCGCAAAAAATATACACACACTCAGAGAGGACACAGACAAGCGCTTACTAGCAACTGAAATTTTTCTTTCGAAGCGAACACTAATAAATACATCACACGCGTGTGCGTCACTCCCAACTTCCCCTGTCACCATCAAAAACGTGACATTACAAAATATGCACGCGCCCACAATCGGAAACAAACACGTACCAAGAACTAAGAAGAAAACGTAACACATAAAAAAAAAAACACTGGGTTATGTGACGTCCAAAAAAGCAAATTCCGCATCTGTTAGTAGAACTGACGCTTGGCTGACGGAACTGTTCCCTCCTTTCCTTATTCTATACGCTTCCATTATTTCACTCGTTGTCCGGAGACGCTCCCTGGATTTCGTGCCGACCGGTTGTGCGCCCGCGCGCTCCGCGCGCTCGCGACCTTCGGCGTCATCGTAGCTCTGGCCGACTGGGCTGGCCCTACGTCATCTCCTGTCGCCGGCTGTCTTCGGTGACAGCGCAGCTCTGACCTACTGGACCTGCTCTACGCCATCTACAGACGCCGACACCATCTCTCGCAAGTGTACCCCGTCCTCGGACTCCAGTGACCGTTTTTCCATCTTTCCTGTCTCTTCTATCCCCTCAGTTTGTTGTTGCTTCTTCTTCCTCTTTCCTATACTTTTACCTCTACCCTTTTATCCCTCCTTACCCCCATCCCTTTGTGAGCTCTGTGGCGGTGTCGCTCACTGAAGCAGACAATAACGGGGCTCACTTTTCTCTTCCTTTCTCTCAAGAACCACTCCGCACTCGTTGTCCGCTTGTTGTGCCTGTCAATTATTCGTGTGTCGTAAAATTTTGGTTGGCATGCGCATTCCTTGCAGTGCATCGCTAAGTAAGGGGCCCCTTTAGTGAACTCTCATGTTCACGAAGGCACACATTTATGCACCGACCCGTCTGACCAACGTATTCCTTTCCACATGTGAAAGGAGTTCCGTATACAACATCTTTTTTTGAACTCAACGTACCTCCTGCCTTGCTTTATGCTGCATTTATTCGATTCTCCAGTTCCTTTCTTGTTAACTAGCCTTTCCACTGCTGGACAAATCTTTGATAACTTGTTTTCAGCTGAAAAAACGACCCGCACGCCATACCTCAATGCAACTTTTTTCAATTTATGTGAAATATTGTGCTCTTTCACCCTCAACTTGTCTCCTCTCTTGGCTTGTGCCAATGATTGCATTTTTTACCTCCCGACGATTTTTCTCACAGGCCAAAAGGATACAATCATCTTGGTAAGTGGCTCCCCTCAAGCGCTTGATCTGCGCGGAAACACTCTCATTCAATGAGTGTACGCACGATTTTATGAGGGCAGCTTTGATGCAAGAAGTTGCAATCCCATTCTTTACTATCTTCGAATGTGCCGAATGATAGCTCAGCAATGGTTTTTCTGATCTAGGGTGATACATCCAACACGTGTGAAAAGGAGACAAATTAATTTTTATTTCTAGGTCCAGAAACTGAATGCGTCGTTCCTTTGGCACCTCAAAGGTAAACTGTAAGTCACACCCGTTTTTCCTAAAAGCTTTTAAAACAGTCATTAACGTGCTCATACCCGGATCGTTTTTTACCAAAACAAGGTAGTCATCTACAAATCTACACAGCTTCAGATCCGTACCATCTAGCTCTTTATCTACTGCTGTGTCAAGTTTGCTCAAAAAAAAAAAAAACATTGCACAAGATCGGGGCGACACTAGACCCAATGCAAATCCCATCCTTCTGGACGTACACTTCTTCATTCCACCCCACTAGCGTGGACCCCAGATACATGGCCAAAATCTCCATAAAACCTTCTACAGACACACCACAGGCGTTACAAAAAGCCACTTCATCATTTTTTTCGGTGATGCATCTTGTACGCTTTGTAGTAAAGGACCATGCGGAACAGAATAATATAACTCGACGACATCAATACTGAAGGCATCAGAGACCCTTACATCATCTCCCATGAGAGTTCACTAAAGGGGGCCCCTTACTCACACTTAGCGATGCACTGCAAGGAATGCACATGCCAACCGAAATTCTACGACACACGAATAATTGACAGGCACAACAAGCGGACAACGAGAGAAATAATGGAAGCGTATAGAATAAGGAAAGGAGGGAACAGTTGCGTCAGCCAAGCGTCAGTTCTACTAACAGATGCGGAATTTGCTTTTTTGGACGTCACATAACCCAGTGTTTTTTTCTGTGTTACGTTTTTCTCTTAGTTCTTGGTACGTGTTTGTTTCCGATTGTGGGCGCGTGCATATTTTGTAATGTCACGTTTTTGATGGTGACAGGGGAAGTTTGGAGTGACGCACATGCGTGTGGTGTATTTATTAGTGTTAGCTTCGAAAAAAAAATTTCAGTTGCTAGTAAGCGCTTGTCAGTGTCCTCTCTGAGTGTGTGTATATTTTTTGCGCTTGTCTCATCATGATTCTTTTTCTTCTCTCTCTCTCTCTCGCTGCTCTTCTGGGAATCGTGCATACTTTTGCCGGAATTATTCTCGGAATCGGTAGGATTATGGTACCTGCTCCATAAAATTAGGCTTCTTGCTCATTCTACGTGACAGTTGACTACCCTGTCACGTCTGCATTCACAGCCGCAGCAAACTGCGCCGCGTGAAGATATCTGAAAGTGTTCTATCTTTACCGTGCTTTTTATTTTAGTAGTTGTTTATTGTCCAAAGCGCTCATCAACGCTTCAATATTTCAGTGATAAGAAGCTATGGCACCGCCGGTGCATCGCTGCCCCCTTTACGCTTTTTACGACCCTGACTTTTTTTTTAGAATTTTGAGTACTGCGCTCATTTTCTCGTTGACCCAATAATTAGAAACACCTTACACTTTTACTATACTACGCCGTTCATTGTCGTCGTTAAAAAGCTGGAATTCTTTGGAAAGAAAAGTTTGACTCTCATTCGGTGTTTTTTTTTTTTTTAATTGCGGAGCACTTTAGCAGACTGGACTGTCGTATGATGCAGTCGGCTGTCATTGTCGTTTGGCGTAACGCTGCATGCGTAGCATATTGAGCACTCGCTCGCACCAGGAAGTCTTCTTCCTCCTTTTCTTCTAGTTCTTTGAGGATAATCACTTGTTATCAGCAGCAAAAAATAAACAATAACAAGTGCATTTGTTAATGCAATACTACACTACTCCAAGTCGTAATGATATTGAACGGCTTCGGACACATCACGAGACATGACAGAGATGACATGACAGAAAAAAAAAACAAGATGCGTATAAAATATCGCACTCCCTACAGTAAAGCGAAAACTGTACTAATTAATATACCTTGCGTCAGCTAACGATAGTTGTGTTCCGGAGAAAAGAAGCGTTCTTCGGACGTTATTAACGAGCCTCAAAGATTGAAGCAAGCCTGTCACGTGACAGTTTGTGTATTAAGTACACAATACTGGTTCTTTCCTAGTCAGCTGACGTTGTATGCAATATCTGCAGTTGAACGACACTGCCCAGGCTTTGTACTCTGAATAGCTTTCCTTATTAAGCAGGTCAATATCCATATTATCTATGTTGATCTTTATTCAATCTGTACACACTCATTCATATCCAGCAATACCCGTTTTCACCCGGTCTAGGATAGTTTCAATTTAGACTTATATCAATCTGAATTGCCGGTTGGTTAACTAAGAGGAAACGAAGTATTGCATAAGTTCAACACAAAGCCGTACTGAGAATGCAAATACACCAAAAAATACGTACCATTGTGCTTGTTCTTTTGGCTGAAGTCGTAGTCAAAGCGTAGGAAAGTAGGGAAGTCGATGTGCGCAGGAAAGCGCCGACCATGGATATTTACAAAGGACAAAGTTCAGAACAATTTTATTCGCTTTTCAAGCAATCTGCGAACGTCAATTCAAGCTTACGGCCATGAAAACAATATCGGCTACTGCACCTAATGAAATCGCACATACTTTTAAAGTAGCCCCGGCCTCTTTGTGGCAACGTACGCGATTAACAGTACCAACAGGAACAGCAGCAGGAACAGTACAAACAGCTGAAGCTCACTCAGGGGGAAATGAACGGACGAGATCTAAAATTATATAGTTAGCATAAGTAGCCTACCTTACTAAGCTCCATTTCGACTACGTCGTGCCCCTTTCTACTTGTTTCCCGAGAGAAGAGAGCAGCCATCGCGTTCCTCACTGGTGCTGTTAGCGAATCTCGGCGTCTTTTCACTTGGTGCCTGTGTGTGTCACGTTTCTCTTATGGTCCACTTTGCCAAGTATTTCTGCTATCACGCTCACAACAGGCGCGTCTCAGCAACATAAAAGAACCAATACTTTGACATGTTAAAAAAGGTTCGGTCTTTTTAAGGGCGCCGAATTTTTCTGTAATGGCTACCTAAAATTATGTCATCAACTTCACAGATGCTTGAAGGTTTGGTATTCGAGGCTCCCTATACATCATTGGTTTGTTAATTGGAATTGGTAAATTGCATTTAGCGTCCCGAAGTGGCTCAGACTTCTAAATGCGACTGTGGCGCCCGTGATCGAACCCTTTGACTTTCGTTAGCAACCGAGCACCGTATAGCCACTGTGACACAGCTGCGGCTTGTACACGTTGCGGGGGGTGGGTGAGGGAAAGGAATTCACCACTGAGCATGATTGAAGTCATTAGCATGCGCAGGGCTCACCTTGAGAGGCGAGAGGAAGGGGCGAACTTAAGGTGCGAGTCAAAGAAACAGAACGTGGTTTGTTATGGCCACGGATTCAAGAAAAAGAGTGTGACAAGAATTAAAGCGACGACTACAAATATAGCTAGCTTCATTACTTGCTCACGTTCGTCACATTATTGCAAGTTATGCCGAAAATTAGGTTGCAGTTCGAGAGCGCAATGCATTCGCGCAAAAGCGACCGCGTGAAATCAATACGGACCAATTCAGTTCGGCTGTTTAGACGCGTCTGGAACGTTCCGTGTTTAGCAATCATGCGCTACACGGATGATCTGTTGATTGATTGATTGATTGATTGATTGATTGATTGATTGATTGATTGATTGATATGTGGGGTTTAACGTCCCAAAACCGCTATATGACACGGATGACCTGTCGATTTTGTTTTTGTGCATCTTTCCTTTGATTTCGTTACTCCATGCACAATACGCCACGCGGAGATCTATTCGATAACACGCGAATGAACAATCCCGTGACGTAATGACGGTGTAACTACAGCAACGCATGCACAAATTTGGGAGAACTGCCTTGAAACTGCCATTAAAAAAAAATGTTACACGTTGGTGGCCCACTTCCACTTGTAACTTCCTGCCGGTCGCGCTGTGTATTTCGCAGACAGCAGTTTTTTTCGGCTGACGTTCAGGAACGGGGCTTGTGATACTCGGAACGTACGAGTCGTGTTTCAACTTTTATTTCTTGTGTGGACGTTACCGGGGGACATTGCCTGTAAGTGTTCACCAGGAACCACGTCGCCTGGAGTTCGAAGACCACTGCGAGCTTTGTCTTCGGCATGGCAGGCCGACTAGGTGTTGGGGCATGTTTACCGAAAATCATTCGCTATAGATTCACAGTTCAACCAAAGGTTAAGATTGCGTGGAACTTTAGCGAGCGGGTTTCTTGAACAATGTCACCATGGGTCTAACTTCCGGAGGTAAAGGCAGGGCTTAGCTGACGGTTAAACAGGTAGGTGGCTTTGTTAGGCTGGTTTCAACGGTAGATAGACCCGATCCGGAATGCACACGTGGCACTCCTGCGGCCATCATTTTGTGCCAATATTGCTTTGCTGGCGCGTGATGTGGTTTTTACGGGCCGTGACGTGGTGTCCTGGTGCTTAACCTCGGCTTGTCTCCGCACTTCAAGAAAATGGCAATGTCTGAACTTCAAGCCTTCACGACGTGTTGCGTCGAGGACGTGCTACAGGTGGAGTGCAGGTGGGTTAACTTTCTTCAGCGTTCACTCGTGTTAGTTGGTATACTGGCCATGGTAGGTAGGCCCTTCTTCATGGCTTAGTAGTCACTTTGCCGTGTTAACCCTTGTCCTCTTTTCTTTTGCAGCTTCATCTTGTCTCCTAAATACGAGTGCACATGAACCAGCCATGGTTCCGCGCTCAAGAGGTATTTGTGAGACTGCGTTTATATTTTACGCACGCTTTCATCTCCTAAGAAGTTTTGCTTTTGTTCCAGGAGCGCTGACGTACTGACGTGCCCCGTGTCACTTCGGCGTTTCTTCGCATCATCGCCGATTGTAGTTTTTATGGCGGACTTGTGGAGCACCGAGTAAGCATCTCTCATATTTCCATGAGTAGCACATTACGCGCTAAGGAACGCCTTGTTTCAGGCTTTGTCAATCGCAGTCATCGTTCTCTGAACGGCGGTCTTTCGTAAGGAACGACTTGGCAGCTTATACTCGCTAGCACTTGGGTCCTGTCGTCACCACTGCCGGCCATATTAGGCGCATGCATTTGCTTCATAGCGTTGGCACGTGCGAGCACGCGTTGCAGTTTGTAATGTGTGTGTGAACGCGTGGGGTAGTTTTCAAAATTCGTTAATATACCTGTTTTTCTTCTGTCTTTTTGATAGTCCATTACATAGCGTGCCCTTGAAAAGTAACTGTTAACATTTACAGTCAATTGACTAAAACAAGTGCACTACAGAGGCGACAAACGATAATGACGGCTATACTCAATTGTTGTAATTGGGATACTCTTACGCAGTGTTTGCACTCACCAGGATTTTGTCAATTATGTTGGAAGGAGTTACTTGCTACATTTTCGTGCCCATAAATACTGATCTTGTCAGAATATCGGGCTGACTTGTCCGTTCCTTAAATTCATGGCTCTTCGGATGCTTCTCGCTCCTAAAGTTGCTGTTCGTGTGCATTAGTCATAATTCTAATTAATGCTTCTTTCGTTAATTAGTAGGGAGGATGTTGTTCTGGCATATTGGATGCTTGTTTGTATGCAAGGGATGATTGCTCATTCGCCGGCTCGTAACAAGGTCACTTGCCTAGTGACGCCAGCTCGTAAAAAAATATCTTACACTCGCCGTCGTGGATACTAGCGCTGCTGACTCACATACAAACGGTACGTTCGCTGTGCCACCTTGCATGCTCGAATATCCCTTCACTGTTGTTCCAAACAACCTAAGGGGAAACAGTGTCTGACCATGGTATTTAAGAAAAAAATGTTCTAAAATAAAGGGGGGGGGGGGGGGTGCTACCCCTTGGCACATTAGCCTATGTTCTGTGTATACTTAGGAGTCTGAAGTTTTGTTCGTTGAATAAACTGAAAGAATATTTTTACACTTCTCTACTCAAAATTTTTTTCTCGATTCCAAATCTCAAATTAAAACTTTAAGAGCTGCATTAGGACATAAACAATTTGCAAAAAAAAATGCCGCCATATCCACGAAGTGAATGATGATGAGTGGGCGAAGCTCCGGAGGTAAACCTGGTAAACCATGAATCCTCCGTACATTTTGCCCACTCGATTTTATTGCAACGCTCCCCCTAGCGTACGTCGCCGCACTATATCGAACGATGACACGCGCCATATGTGGCATCATTCCTATTTTATAACACCTCGCATCTTTCATAATCAACTACACGTACCGCCGTCTAGTTTATAACATCTTGCATCTTTTGGACGGACGGACGGACGGACGGATGAATGGATGGATGGACGGACGGACGGACGGATGGATATGGCTGTACCCTTTAGATCGGGCGGTGGCTAGCGTAATACTTAGAACTGAACGAGAGGTGGCTACATACAGGGGACGCACAGCCCACGCCTTAAGGAGCTTCGCTCCTAATATGTATGTAGCGTATTTATATGGTGTTATGAAATAAACTTGTTTTGAGACACGCAGGAACGATGTATTCGAAGTGGCTGCCAGGCAGTTGGTCTAGCCGATTATACTACTTCTTTTCACCAAATTGTAATTTAGTACAGAGCGAAAAGTTGCACTCATGTTTGCATCTGTTTGCTCTGCACTCAGTTTGTTGAAAACAATCAAGCGAGCATCGGTGACTACACCAGCTCTGACAGCTTTGCCACATCATTCTTGGGTTAAAGCGAAGTTCCTGAAAAGCCGTACAAAAAAATGTTTAGCACTTATTTTAAAATTGACTGTCTTGTTCTAATGCCGCTATAAATTAAGGTACTTAAGCATCTCATTCTTTAAGCGCGTCAAATTCTCTTCAGTTCAATTTCAAAGAAATTTTTGAGGCCCTTGTTTTGACGTTATTTTTTTATCCCAGAGTTGCAGCTATAGGCCACCTTAGATAGCCACATAATTGAGCATTTATTATGTACTTCATGTGGTTCACACTGCACTGACCTTCATGTGGTTCACACTGAACTTCATGTGGTTCACACTGCAGTATTCATTAATTCCACTTCACTTCTTGTTCCTTCGCACCTTGTGTAGTCTTTCAAACAAGCATTTTTTTGCTCCCAAGTTTCTGCCTCATATATTAGAATTGGCTAAGTGCAATTTCACCTCTGTTTAGTGGTAGTTGTAATAAGCTATATATAGCCGTGAGCCTACCGTATGCGCACCAGCCCATTCTCAATCTTTGGCGAATTTCCTTTACATGAACGAGCTGTATTGTTGGAATTTAACTCGTACACGCTCTTCTACTGCTTATAGGGCATGTTTAAGTAACACACTCTTAAACCACCGAGCATTGTTTGCTCGCTGCATGCCTATCTTCAACCACACCTCGACGCCTTTTCTTATCGTCTTCAGTCATCTTCTGCACTTAACCGCGATTATTGCCGAAGTGGCTGGTGTCGTCCACAAATATAAATTGCTAAAGTATTTTCTGCTGATCTTTTTTCCTATTTCTTTCAGATATAGTCACTCGAATACTGCGAGACATGCAGTAAACAGCAATAGTGATATATTACCTTCTTGTCGGACCTTTCTCGATCGGGATTTTGCTGTGTTTCTAGAGTAGCAAAGTAGCTGTAAAATAGATCGTTGACACGTAACTTTAGCAAAGACTTTAAAAATTAAAGGCATGTCAGAAGTGTGGAAGCTCTAATTTTGTGATGTTTGTGTTCCTCTTTATGGTTCGTTCGTTCCTCTATAAGTAGTCGCACTGGATGACTACATATGAGGCGTTTTTCTTTTTTTAAGAGCCAAATGCACTTTAACTGAAAATGAGAAAAACGCACTTTTTTTTTTCTACTGACAATATGGTCGGACCAGCTCAAACAACTTTTTTGCCAGTATGTTCATCTCCACCAAATACCACAAATCTACATACATTGCGGCTAAAATCTACATAGCCCAATATTGTCAGCATTTGAAAGTAAAATTTGTATTTGGCTCATATAGATTAGAACATTTCGTTTGAACATGAATGAGCTCGTAAAACAAATGTAAAAAGATTCGAATGTAAGGTATAACAACACTTTTCGATATATTTAACATCATCCTTGTGCTTTCGCCGGTACCGTGCTTCGTCGCATGGGCACAATGACGATTACTAGACTGTCAGGCGCTTCTGCACATTTTGTGGGCGGAGATGTCACGAAATAAGTTTGTGGGGATCTAATTCGTAATAACGAGTTCAGAGGTGACTTCTTTGGGTTCTAGCCACGCAGTGTGGCACAATTTCCGTACAATATAGCCCCATGCACCCCGATAACTTCAAATTCACTAATTCAAACAATTTCACAGTCCCTTTGAATTCAAACTGTCTGTACGGTGTAAGAGAAATAGCTGTAAGTGATAGATGGAAGTTTACAATGAAAAATCTACGAATAGAAGTGTGTGCTTGAGCACACATCCACTGTTTATGAATTGTTTTCATCAAATGCAACAAGAATGCTTAATTGACCATTACATCAGTTTGTGGCCAATCCTCTACCGATAGTGCACAAAAGGTATCACCTAAATAAGGGCGCACTGTCGCCAATGATTAAGTGCACTCTGCACACCTTGAGTACGTTATATAATATGTAAACAGGTGAGTCGCGTCTGGCCATCACTGGCAGGTGGCTGGTTTTTCTTTCAGCTCTGCATTAGGTGCACACAATGGACGATCCCACAGGTTCTTCGAGTATTTAGTCCAGTCCTCAATCCACCAAAGATAGTAGTCCCCGGTAGAGTGTCTCTCAGCAGACAGTCTTTCTTCTGCCTGCTGGGGCTTACTGCGTTCGAATAATGGACCTTTGTTCGGTGATCTGCAGGGATTTGCGTTAGCAAATACACATTTTGTAATAAGAGTAAGTGCTCTTTAGGATTTTTAGGAAATTCAGGACTACATAATGTAGGAACTTGCTTATCGGCAGTCTTCAGTCCGTGCCGTGTGGGCGAAACTTCAGTGTCAGCACTGCCTTTAGTTGCCGAATTTGTAGCGGCGTGCACGGTTATATATTTACCAGTTGCGTTCGAATAAAACTTCTCATTATATTCTTGTTAAACCAAACTTAACAAGTCTATAAATAACGAGACAGTCAATTTGTAACGACGAGTCAGTTAACTAAAGGGCTCAAAACG